CATCCGAGGAGGCATACGCCGTCGCTGCAAGCACAGATTCTGACTTAGAGGCGTTCAGTCATAATCCCACGCACGGTAGCTTTGCACCGCTGGCTTTTCAGCCAAGCACAATTGCCAATTGTGCGAACCAACGGTTTGATAGATTTGAAGTCCGGATATCATCAAATAGAGGTTCATCCTGATAATCAGTATAAGACTGCATTCCGGACTAGGTATGGGCACTACGAGTTTATAGTCATGCCCTTTGGACTAACCAATGCGCCAGCGACTTTTCAGCGCTGTATGGATGACTTGTTTAGGCCTTGGTTAGACAGATTCGTGGTAGTTTACTTGGATGATATGTTAGTTTTCAGTAAGACCCTCCAAGAGCATCAGGGTCATGTGAGGCAGGTCTTGGAGAAGCTGAGGGGAGGGAAGTTAACTTCAAGATCAATGCAAAGAAGTGTGAGTGGGCAAAGACCCAAGTATTGTATCTAGGCCATGTTTTAGACGGAGATGGCATTAAGCCAGAATATAGCAAAATTGCAGCGATTAGAGATTGGCCTACACCCCGCACGTTGACAGAATTGCGGTCGTTCTTAGGCCTAGCAAATTACTATAGGAAGTTTGTCAGAAACTTCTCCACCATCGCTGCACCTCTTCGCAGATTGCTAAAGAAAGAAACAATCTGGAAGTGGGATAAGGACTGCACGTCTGCCATGAAGAAGTTGAAGCAGGCGTTGATAGAGTACCCAGTCCTTAAGGTCGCCGATCCGTCTTTACCTTTTGTTGTTACCACTGACACGAGCCAGTATGGCATAGGTGCTGTACTACAGCAAGACGATGGTAGCGGATATAGACCCGTAGAGTTCATGTCTGCTAGGATGCCTTCAGAGAAGGTTGCGACATCCACCTACGAGAGGGAACTCTACGCTCTCAGGTAAGCACTAGAACATTGGAAGCAATACTTGCTTGGGAGGCACTTCAAAGTCTATTCAGACCACGAGACGTTAAGGTGGCTGAAGACGCAGGCCAAGATGACACCTAAATTGACTAGGTGGGCCGCTGAGATAGACCAGTACGACTTTGAGCTCAAGCCAGTTAAGGGCAAGTACAATGTAGTTGCGGATGCTCTAAGTAGGAGGTCAGACGACCTTGGGGCGATAGTCCATTATCTGGATGTAGGGAAGGACCTGCAACAAGAAGTTAGGGAGGCATATGCGCAGGATCCTATCTATAGCGACCTTCTTAAGAGAGTAAAGGAGGCTCCAAAGATTGAACCACATTACCGCACTACAGAGGGTTTGTTATTTGAGAAAACTGATGTAGTAGACCGCTTGTGCGTCCCCAACAGTGAAGAAATTTGTAGCCTGATCTTAGGGGAATGTCACGATACAGAGGGACACTTCGGTTGGCAAAAGACTCTAGCCAATCTGATGCGCGCGTATACTTGGCCAAGGATGAAGGCCGACTGCATAGAGTACATCCGCAGTTGTAAGGTCTGACAAAGGAATAAAACTACTACGCGTGCCCCTCTAGGTCTTCTTAGACCCCTGCCTATTCCTGACCAACCCTGAGATTCAGTGTCCATTGATTTCATGGACACCGGCGTCAATTGCAGGCATAGTAAGAGCCAAGTCATGGTCATAGTAGATAGATTTAGCAAGTATGCAGTTTGTTCCATTGCCTGCGGAGGCACGTACAAAGTTAGTAGTTCAGAAGTTCTTTGATCATTGGGTCAGTGAACACGGGATTCCGTTGTCTATAGTTAGCGATAGAGACACCCGGTTCACTAGTCATAACTGGCAGGAGTTGATGAGAGTATATGGCTCCAAGGTGTTGATGTCATCTGGCTGTCATCCATAGACTAACGGTCAGACTGAGCAAATGAATAAGCTCCTACAGCAAGTTATGAGAATGTACATTAGACCTGATCAGACTAACAGGGATGAGATGCTCCCAAAGGTAGCCAGTGCCTACAATAACAGCGCGCACCCGTCCACGTGTCGCACTCCCAACGAATTACACAAGTCCTTTAGACCACGCAAGCCGTTTGAGGGACTTAACCGGGATCAGATTCATAGGCTACCGCCCGGTACTAGGGAGTTGCGTTACAACATGAGGAGTTAGCTACCGTTGTAGAGAACCTCAGGAAGGTCCAGCATAGGATGATAGAGCAAGCCAACAAGCATCGTCGCCCGTCACAGTTTCAAGTAGGCGACTTAGTTTGGGTCAAATCTAAGGAGTTTGCTCCTGAGGAGAATATCTCGCAAAAGCTATTGCCCGCGTATAGAGGACCGTGGCCAGTTCTAGACGTTAAGGGCGGAGAGGATGGGCCGTCCTATACAGTAGAGATTCCAGCGCACCTCCACACCTACCCGTATTTCACGCATCATAGTTATTGTCGTGTGTCACAAGTCAACAGTTTCCCTCCAGAAGGCCAAAAGGCCCATGATCCCTCCGGATATGGATGGAATATACGACATTGACGGCATTGTAGGTGAAGATTCATTCAGGACGGGAGGTAGAGGTTGTCCTCAGAAACAGTACAAGGTTCGATTCGCTTATCAGGAACCGGAAGATGACCGCTGGTTTACCAGAACTGAACTTCTAGAAACAGCTTCCGACATAGTCAGGGCCTACGAAAGAGATATGAAAGGTAAAGGTCCTGCCTTGGACTGAGACATTCTTGGAGGACCTCGAATTTAGACCGGCGGGAGTGAAACGGTTTTCACTTTTGCAGAGGCAGATGCAGATCCCGAGGTTTGATCCCCAGACGTTACCTCACCCATGTACAGTATCGAGTGGACCCTTGAGTGTTTGAACCCGTGCCCTGTGTTTCGTGAGTTGTTGGTTGTTTATCGTAGGACTATGTGGGCATAGGGATTCGATTTGTAGACCTGTCGAGTAGAGGTCTTAAAGAGTTCCAGAAGTAGCTGTAGATGTCCTGAAGGGTCAAGGTCGTAGCTGCTACAGTCCCGAAAGGCCAAGTCCACAGTCTTCCGAAAGGTCCGGAAGTGGCCTTTCGCAGCTTGCTCACGTTTTAGACTGAGGCAAGTGGGCAAGTGGGCAAGTGGGCAAGTGGTGGACCAACTGTAGTATGTTCATAGTACGATAGCGGTAGGTTAGCAGTGTGTCCCCAGGCAGTCAACGGTACGGTCCAGTCAGTCCAAGTCCTGTCCAGCAAGTACCATGAGGGACTGTGTGTACCATAGGCTGATGGAAAGGGGCAAACCAACGAGTTACAGAAGTATAAATCAGGAGGCAGCGCACAGCCATTGATTCATTCCCGCGGAAGCCACGCGGAAGCGGTGCCACGGTGACTTGTGCGAGGTGGTCTGCAGAGGAGCCTGAAGTCGAAGTGGGCTAGAGGGAGTTAGCGCAGCCATAGCTGCTTGTAGAGTAGAGCTAGTTGGCGGCCATAGCTGCCATAGTTAGTAATAGGTGTGCATTCGTGTGTGTGCAGAGTGTGTGCGTGGGGTATCCAGGGTGATCCGGAGTTGAAGTGTGAAGTGAACAGTGGTGTTGGACACAGTGACGAGATATGCGATGTGTGGGTGCTGATGCACCATAGCCTATTGAAGCGAGCTTGCATCTGAATTGTGTCTTGGTTTCCATATCTTCGAGCTTTGAGTTGGGCGCTAGGCGCTAGTGTAATTCACCATCTGTTTGTATGCATGTGAAGTGACGAAGTATGCGAGTCTGATTGCAGTTGCTCCTGTCACTCCGCTAAGTCCTGTGCCTTTCTTTCTCTCCCTTCTTTCTTCTTTCTTTTATCTGATTTCTCTAAAAGTGTCTCGTCCTCCACTTGCCTGCTTGTACCCTTTCTTGTTTCGGACTGTCTGTGATGGCCTTCTGGTTCTCATTGCTCTAGTTGAGGACATTTAGTTGGGGTATCGAGGGTGATTCGGAGTTGAAGTGTAAAGTGAACAGTGGTGTTCGACACAGTGACGAGAGTTGCGACTTGTGGGTGCTGATGCACCATAGCCTTCACACTTCAACTCTGGATCACCCTGGATACCCCACGCGCCAAAAACCCCATCGGTAGGTACCGCGCCAAGAAACCACTGGTAGGCACTGCAGCCCTCTCCAACAGGCAAATAATCCGGGCCGCCGGGCCCCAGGTACCTGGCCAACGACATGGATTGATGCGCGATCTTAAGATCTTAAGATCGTGCGCCGAGAAAGCCCGTCGATCCGCTAGGACCCGACGGCCGGGATTTCAGATTTGTTACATGGTTCGGTCGATCTGCGCCGTGGGCTGGTAGGATCGACGACGGCCCAGATTTCAGATTTGTCACATTAGCGATTTTAATAGTGTAGGGAAGAGCAGGGTGTGTATAATTGGCACATCCCTTCCTCTTAGAAGTGCAATGATGGGAGATAGCACTTTCGAAGTAGAGGAAATTCAAATGGTGGGCAAAGAGCAAGCATGGCTTAGCATGCTGCACTTTGCAGACAACGTCAGTTGCAAAATAGGAGTGGCAAGGCAATGTGAACCGAGGAGCCGGCAAAGCAGGCAGTGCAAAGATGTTCGTAAATGAACCAGTAGATCCAGGGACATCAAAACTGTAACAAATCACCAGCGACTCACCAAAGACTATCCAAATAAATCACTTTATGGCAGTCCAGGCTTAAAAGTTGCAACGCCTGAGAAAAACAAATGCAAACAGAAAGAATAGAAGAACATATATGTGTTGTCACATAACTATAAACTAAAAAAACACTTTGTGAAACAAACGGTAACCCGAGTAAAGATTTAAAAACAAGACAAAGACGAGGGGCACACTGATAACGTTCATTTTTCACATTCTTTTAACACACTGAAAACGTTCATTTTTCACTTTCTTTTAACACACTGAAAACGTTCATTTTTAACATTTTTTAACTCCCCCTTCACCGTGCCTCTCACGTACAAGGCGACATTATTATTTGAGCGCGAGCTGCCCACATCTCCCTCTGTGAGAAAGAGGCAGAGTAGAGGGGGAGGTGATAAACACAGGGAAGAGAGATGAAGAGAAGAGAAACAAAGAACGAAAAGAGAGGGAAAGTGCGGAGGGTGGAATGAAGATAAAGGCAAAGGAGAGGATAAGAAAAGTCTCAAGAATGAGTCTGTCCTTAACAGGAAGGACACATTGTAATGATGAGGAGGATGGGCACATGGAAGACCTAGCTGGGCATTCTCAGCACAACAATCGCCATGACAACTTGCATTGAGCATGCCCACCATACACTCCCAACAAATGGCATGTCGATTGCAGGCCACAATAAAGGAAGAACGCTTACCACAAAAGACCATGCATTCAATATAGCGCCCATGACCACAAAATGGACATAACAGTGTCCGGATGCGGAGGGTGCCTGGAGTCAGGAACGGAGGGACAATCCTCTACACACATCGATAAAAAACCATGTCATTGTCATGATTGTGACAGAGACAATGGTGGCTACAGCCAAGTGTAACAATGTCGGTAGCTGTGCAAAGGAAAAGGTCACAGAGTGTTGGTACATTGTCCTGCTGTAGCACAGAGCCAGAGGAATGATCTTCGATGTAAAAGAGATTGCCGACAGTTTGGTGTGGCAAGAAAACAACATCATTATGTAAGAAATCAGTAACATCAGCCATACCATGAACCATGATGCCATTTTCATAACTCCTAGTGATGGCCATATAATGGCCTGGTCCGTGCACAATGCAGGCAAAGATGTGGGATGGAGGATTAAACCAGTCACCTGCTCGAGCATTGTGTAGTCCGAGTTGGCGGTCCCTCATTGCTACTTGGAGGACAGCAATGGTAAAGCCTAGTCATTTGCAGATCACCAATGTGGTCTGCGTGTGATGGGGCACACATTTGTAGTTCATCCAAACGATGTCGGTCAGCCGATTGCAGATCCCCCATGTGGTCTTCACCTTGTGGGGTTAGCTGCAATCCGGGCAGA